TCCTTAATATTTTTCTTTTTATATTCTTTCACACTCAGTACCCCCGCCCCCTTGTCACTTAGTGGCTTTATTACCATGATTGGGGTTAAACGATTAAATATAGCTTACTGTGAAAAAAGGTTACATTTTGGGAGTGAGTTTTTAATAACACACTAACTCTTGATTATGATCGTTCGTTAATGCACAACGCCAAATGTTCTTGAATAAAACGATACAAACAATATGGAATAGACAAACAAAAATAAGCCATATATTTTAAAATATCTGCGTTAGAACACAGACACACGAACTTTTGCTTTTGAAACTGAAATTGTGCATGCTCAAAATTTAGTTGAAAACAAACTCGCATGGTAATATTAATATTAGCTGTTTCCTTATAAGGAAATATTTGGTATTCACTGACCGAGAGTTTAGAGTTGCTGTCGGTTGAAATTTATGAATTTTTTCTCTTAAAACAATTTTTCAGGAAAATATTTCTCGCGATCAGTCGTTGTTACTTCTCTTTCCAGTATTGATGGGGGTTTGCCTTTTGTTTAGGAAATGTAGACCGTCAACATCTTGATTTTCATTATTCTCTTCGAGTTATATGTGCTATCCATTTTAGTTGTTGCTGCTGTTGAAAGTCCTCCACTACTGTTCCTGTTATCTGGTACAGTTCTTTGTGATTCTGTAATGTCGGTCCAGGAGGTCCGATGAAGGATGGGCTTCACTCACTCGAAGCCATTTTTAAGCATTGATCTGCGAAAGTGGTTCTATATAGTTGACAGTTTAGATAGATCTGAACGATTCCGGCCTCATGCCTGACATCAATCTGAAAATCTTGAACTGACGAATCTAAGAACACGGCTTTCGTTTTTAAGTTAATGTTTTGTAGCAACTTGCGGTGTTGGGCAAAACTACCACTAGCACAACCTATTCTATGTTCAATTTTATTATCTCCTATACACTCATGCCCTGTTTTAATGAATAAAGGGTTGGCGGGCATCGGTCCGATAATGCTGATTGTTACCGGCACTAAATCTGATCAACTCCACCTTTTGTTATAATGTTAAAAATTAACACATTTACAAAGAATATAAAACTACTTAAACACACTATCATATAAAAAAGGGGAAACCCCTGGAACAATAAGCTACAGGTACGGTTACACTGACGTAAACAAAATAACGGCCCGCCAACTAACAGCCAGCTCACTAAGCAATGGCTTGTATCCAGGATTGCCACAAATCTGTCTGTACCGTGCGGGACTTACAAACTGAGCTCGCTGTTCCAGATTTTGTCAGTTGCTTCCAATATCCGTTAAAAGAGTTCGGTAATACCGAGGTATGAATGTACTCAATGTGTTGTAACTGATCTATACATCGAGGTATTTGAAGCGTTTAGTATTTACTAATTCTACTTCCTGGATTCTTATGAAGGATACAGATTACGCACCACCCCTGCTTTCATTCCAATTCCAAATCATCGTTTCTTCTTTGGAAAGGTTTATCTTGAATCTTACTTCTTGGAATATTTGGTAGAGAATGTTGACTTTTTGTTAAAAAATCATTCTTATCCTAACTATGAATACCTGTCATTAGCATATCTCACCCATCCTCTGTACATTGGCCACGATGGGGAACTGAAATGCGTCTTTGAGACAAAAATTAATGAATCATTTAACTAAAAGTTTAATTCGGCAAAAAGATTGATATATAGAATTATTCTCTGAAAATCATTTTCGTTTTTAAACTGAGCAATGGCTCAGAACGGTACTTAGTGGAGGGTTTTTCATCTAAGCTTGCAATGTTTTGAATGTTTGAACCAATCTTTTACAAAATATTGAAAAAAAAAAAAAAAGCTTTGAAGTTTCGGAAACTACTTTAACCTCAATCTATTTCTCGCACTCCTCTTTTTCTCCTTCCTGTCTTAACTCCAAAAATACAGAAGGAATTTTTTGAACATATTTTCATACATGTCAAAGTTTTACAGCCATAGTTTGTTTACTTTTCATATTATTACTGCCAGTTACCAGACATATTTCAAACCAGAATAACTTTTTGTGTTTACCATTAATCTTTATTTCCATCACTTACAGTCAGATTAATGTCTCCGTTGTTATTGTTATCACAACTTTTCGACCGTTGTATCCTCCAGCTTTTCTTCTTCGATCCGGGTAACTTTCAGGGTATCTTGAACTGAACTCTTTATTTAATCTGGGGGATATTTCTTCTTTTTTTTAAGTACAGTTTAATTATTGCTTGTTTCGTTTCCTGAGAGTTTGTACTACCCAGCCCTGGGTTTGAACTCGCAATTACTATGTTACACATAGAATCGGTAGAAGCCTGCTCTCCGGCCTTCTTCAGATAGCCGTTCTCGTAACATTCTTAGAATTGTGAACTGAATCCTTCCTTCAATCCACTTTACATACTTCGGGAATACCTCCTTTCAGTTAATAATCAACAGTTTTATTCGCCTTTATGTTGCTTGTTAGTTTCATCAACTGAATTAGAGTATATGACTTTTTAACATCACCAAACCCAGGTATTGAACTCACAGTTACCAAGGAACCGGTATGTTTTAACCAATGCTTTAATCCACGTAAGCATGTCTCTTGGAACAAGATAAGCATGTTGGCCAAATTGCAATACTGTTGTTGCTATCATAATAAAAATAATAATGTTATGTTTCCTGCTTTGTATCCTGTAGATCCGGGCCCAAACTATTGTCTTTAGGCCCTGTAGGAGAATTGTCATTTAATTTATAGCACTTCTCTTAGTATATGGGATGTTCCTAGTAGGACGATCTTTTGGGCAACTTGTATTACCTGGAACACCGTTAGTAAAATTACTATTATTATTATTATTATTATTATTTACCTCTGCTTCTTCTTTCTTTTTTATCCTTATCTTCTCCGTCCTATTCACCATCTTCTTCTTCTTCTTCCCATTATTATTATTCACCTCTGCCTTTTCCTTCTTCTTTATCCTCATCTTCATTTTCTGCTTCTTCTTCCTATTATTATTATTATTGTTGTTTGTGTGTTATGTTTCCTGTTTTGTATCCTCTAGAGCCGGGTCCAAACTATGGTCCTTAGACCCTATAGAAGAATTGTCATTTAATTGATAGCACTTTTCTTAGTATATGAGATGTTCCTAGTAGGGCGATCTTCTGGGCAACTTGTATGTTGATGTTATCTGGGACACTGTTAGTAAAATTGTCCATCTCTTTTCTCATGAGGTCCAGAGCTTCAATTACTATTGTTACAGTATCAGTCTTCATTCCCAATATACTATTAATCTCGATCTCCAGGTCATTGTATTTCTCGATAATTCTTATGGTGTTTCTCTCAGATGGTACTGTTCTATCAATAAGCATACACTTCCTGAATTTCTTGTCTTTTATAATAATACCATATCCGTTGGCTTTTATTTCCCTGTCAGTTTGAATTGGCATGTCCCAGAGGATAGTTACATCGTTATTTTGGGTAACTGTGTCTGGTTGATGCTCATACCATCTCTCAGTGATTTCGATTTTGTGCTTCTTACATATCTTCCAGTGCACATATGTCGCTACCTTATGTTTGTGGGTATATTCATTTTTTGTTAGTTTAGACATCCTGAGATAATATGGTCGACAGTTTCATCATATTTTCTACAGATCATCATCATTATTATTGTTATTATTATTCCTGCTCCTTTCCCTTTCCATCAAAATTATCAACCCTTGTTGAATAATTTAATACCGAAGTTATTTTTTTCAATCTATATTGCACATTTATAAATCTACCATTCGTCCGTGCATTTCTGGTGTTCCTGCTATAAATTTCGAGATTCCTAAAATCCAAATAAAAAACTTGTGGCTCTAGCAATAACTTAACACTAAAAAGGACGACATATCCTTTGATATGGACAGTGGAACGTGGACAATCTACTACATCCATAAATTAAAGTGCTCAGTTCAAGATTCCCTGAGGGTTATCCGAATCGACAGAGTCTTAACGAACGCTGAAGGGTCTAAACATGATAATAAGGAATATGTGGACATTAGTGCAACTGCAAATAATGTTGACTCTTCATCCTAGAAATTAAGGCAGAACTCGTTAATCTTCATCAGAAAATAAGACTAATTTGTTTTTTCAATGCTTAAATACTACTTTAAACATTTTATTAAGCTTAACTTATTCTGATGCAGAACAACAATCGTAGAGCATTCGATGAGGAACAATCTTATCAGAAATATTTTGAAAACCTCTTCTGATAACAATTACTCTAAGCTTGTACTGATCAATATATTTGTTAAGAGCAAAATGACATGAAACGAACTTTTGATATCTGTATAAATATTTATTGATGTTTTTGGTTTCTGTATACAAATTTAATGATGTTTTTTTGTTTGTACTCAGAATCATTGACTGCTGTGTAGAGAGATTTGTATTATGAAAATACATTGTAGAAACATAATTAAATAATTTCCCCTTCAGTTTCCTTCAAAGTTTAATTTGCACAGTTCCTAACCGTACCATAAATAAACCGGGAATAAAATCCTAAATTTAATATAAATTTTCAAGTAAATCATTGAGCGAGTCTCTTGAGAAAGCCATATCTGCATTAGTCAACCAGATGTTATTTCTATATCAGTCGAGCTTCAGTAGCAATTAGTATGTTTTATTAAACTTTATTTTGATTCAACAATACAGTTTTGGCCATTCTCTATGGACCATGACCCTTAAAGACGTGAGTGATTATAGTTCTCCGTAGCTTCTTTTGTTGCTTTCAGCAATACTTGTTCTTTTACCCCGACTTCTGTGGTACTTATTCCTCTATCCATTTACTCAAGCTTTTCAAGTTGGGTACCCACTGTTTTCGTCCATTTCTCTTGCATTCTCTGTGAGTGTGAAATTCCTTGAATCTTCCTTATTCATTATATGTCCCAAAATTTCAACTGTCGCGTTCTGTTTGTTTACAACAGTTTCTTTATAGTTTATATTCTCCTTGAAATACTTCCTATTTAACCAGCTCACGGCCATACCACATTGAAAGACTGGTACTTGTCCGATCACCGAAGTTAAGTAACGTCGATCCTGGTCAGTAGCTAGATGGGTGACCGCTTAGAAATACCAGTTGCTGTCTACTTGGATGTATGGTTGGTGGAATGGATAATGGCTCGAAATTGGAAATCAGTGAGCAGAGTTCCAATTCCAGTTAAGTTCATTATATTCAATTACGCGCAAATACCGTTGGAAAGGTATGAATCCATTTCTCCTCCAGCTATGGGTTAATGATTTAGTGACACAACTACTACTTATCTCCAAATAATGATTGAAATCTAAAAATATTTTCTAGCTTAAAGTAACCTTGGAAATGTTGATAAACCGTGAAACATCAATCCTATTTTGCCATGGGCCATAAAAAAAAAAAACATCTTCATAGTCACTGGGAAGAAATTTTAATGAAGGCGGGGTAGAGAATTTGAGACTCACGGAAATATCGAAGACAAAAGGGACAGGGGAATGCAACGTCCCACCTACCAGACGAGTTTGTTTGAATGGATGGCAGGACGGGTTGGCAGAGATGGTTGAAAGACAAACTTTACTCGGTGCTACAAAAGATAGGAAATTGTGATCACCCACGTCCTTAAGGGAAACGGTACATAAAAGAAGAATGTCACCTTGAATGTCTAAGGAATAGCTATCAGCCACCCGACCTGCTTTGCACGGGTTTAAGTGCCGTAATTTAACAAATTAATCCTTTTTCATTACCTCTAGGTATTTATTATTAAGGAAAACAAATTGAGCTCTTGAGATGTTCACCTGCGATCATTCAAGTAAATGCAATTATCTGTTAATGTTCAAATTATGATAAAAAAAAAAGAAGTATTATGAAACATTCAGTTTTTATGATGGTCATGAAATCAAAAATCATAGCTACATGATTTTTTTCCGAAAATAGAATTTAATATTTTAAAAGTAGGCCCTATTTTGATGATCTGTTTTTATTGATTTGTAGTGAGGACCAAAAACGCACCTTGTGAGAAGAATGCTCAAGCCTGTTCATTAATTCTTGAATAAAAATTGAAGTTTCGAACCTTTATTGTTTCTAAGTCTCCCATATTCTTAAAAAAAATGTTTCTTTTGCTGTCTGTTGTTGAACCAAATGTAATTTTTTGTGTCAAATGTTACACCAAATGGTGCTTCCAATTTAAAAATAACCTTTGAATGCAAAAAAGATTCAAGTAAAGTCGTTCATATATGAAGGTGCGAATATGTGATAATTCGAAACTGTCAATCAAATCTTCGAGTAACTTTCAACGCTTTGATAGTGCAATCTGAACATTCTTGTTAAGGTTTTCTGTTTTCATTATTAAGACTTTCTTTCATTTTATCACAATGCGCAGATCGTTTTTTTACATTCTACGGCCGTAAGCAACATGAATCTTAAATAAAGAAAAAACTCAAACCCCAATCCGTATGTCCGCTCTCCGACTCTGAAGCAGAAAGGTGACTGACATTAATAGCGCCTTACTGGTTAGATCACGGATACCCAACAACAGACGCAATTGAAATTTACACTTCCTTATTTGATTGTTCTCAACGCCATGTTGTTTACATCCTCTGGTATTGAACGTAATCTTAAGCTGTCTGAATTTATTGAATAAATCGGTTTCATTAGTCATTCTTAAATAGTTTTCTTTTATCTTATTTTTGATGTTTTGCATCATAACAGGTTATTTTGTGTTTTTTCTTTTTTTTTTCTTTACGCTCATAGCTCAGAAATATTTTTAATGATTCATTCGTTTTAAGGAATAAGTTCTACAAATATACTACACTGTTTATTCGTGTCAAGTTAGGACTTTAAATCTATAACCTTGATGATCTTATCAAAAGACTAGTTTTATTGATAAAATATATATTAGTTTTAACATTAGAAAACTGATTTTATATAGTGTCACCTTCCGAATGTATTTATAAATATTTTGTTGCTGATGATATATTCAGAAGTAATTATTATCGATAGTAACTGCTAAATAGATGCATAGCATCCCATTTGACGAGACTGTTAAATTAAAAAAAAAATAATGCAAATTAACTCCCTTGTTGTGCGACTCGTCTTGCGATTAGAAAACTTGACATCTGATATTTAAACCCTAATGCACCAAATTTTTCGCACGTGTTTTCTTTCCTACCAGAAGTAAAATAACACCTACCCTATAAAGGGTTGCAGCACGTAGCCCTCCATCAAACGTAAAATAAATTCGAATTCTTCGCAAGCAATCTTTGCATTTCTTCCAATGAAAGCTAACGTCTACATATTAACTGCAAGAAATGTCATTTCCACAATGGACACCCACGGCATAACTATGATTAAGTATTTTATTCAATGTTTATTTAAACTGCTGGCTCTTAAATATCTTTGTTCTTTGCATACTTAATTCTTGATTGTTATTGTTTTATTATAAAGCTTATATGTAAGTTATTTCTTTATTTGCCTGCCGTCGACTGTTAAGCCATGACCGTTGTTAGCGAGCTAATTTGTATTAATGTCAGATACCGCTGCATTGTTACCCCCCACCTCATCTGTCATGTTACTAGATGCAGATTTTCTTGGTTTTATTCAACATTTAAGAAAAAATATTTCACAAGTTATCGTACGTTTAATATTTCAGTTGTGACGACATTTCCTAATATCTATGTGAAGAAAAAAAATTGAAAGCCTGAAATACAAAACATTGTTAAAATATTGTAAATGTTTTATTAATCTTAACATTTTTACATATGAAAAAAATACGCTGGCATATTTATAATCTTTTCTCAACGTTAAAACAGCAAGATTTATAAAATGTTGTTTATGGTTTAATGTCTTTTGTAATTGAAATTTCCACATTCTTAGGTGTAAAGCTTGAAACCAATAATGAAACTGATTCCGAGGTTCTATCCACGGATACAGGGGTTGAATTGAGCACTTGCGTAGAACTAATTAAGACGGAATTTGATGTTATTTCTGGCGTGGAGAACTTTGATGCGATAAAGCGAGAAGATCTTGAAGTTTCGTTGTTTTGTGTAGAGTTTGAAATTGGTTGACTCGAATCCAGAGTGGCTGATGATCCGAAAGATTTCCTAATAAGTACTGGGGACGTAAACGACAAAGAGGTGGTATGATCTGAGATGAGTGGCAAAGCTGTTCCAAAAGTTGTCGGATTTGGAAGAGAAACTAAAATTGATCCAAGTATTGTGCTATTTGAGGATGTTTCTGGAAATGATTTAAACATTGTATCATTGGAAGGAAATTGTTCAATCGGCTTGTCATCTGGAGGAGAGACTAAATCAAGTGCGGTTTCCTTTAAAAAGGTGTTTGTCGATATACCAGGTGTTGAGAGAAAATCTGAAGGAGGCTCAAAGGTTACATTATTTGGAAGGGTGACTAAGTTTGGATCAGGGGTCGTATGACTAAATGGTTCCAATATTGTTTTGTTTGAATCTATGTTAGAAATGTTCAAAGCCATATCTGACGATATTGTTAGGTTTTCACATTGTTTCAACAACGGATCAAAATTACCGTTGGGACATGATGCTATCTGGAGTGTCCGCTCGCGAAAACATCTGATGAAGAGCGGTGACATTTCCAGGCCTGGATATTGATTTGGACCATTTTCAAGACCCTTACAACTTGGATGTATGAAATGGCATTCCGTAAAGTTGGAGGAATCAAATATTGTTTGGTAGTCACCTTAAAAACAAAACAAGATATGATAAGCATAATGTCCTTTTCTCGTGCTCGTACAATACCACACAATAATTCTCTACCTTGAGTGGCTCTTGGGCCTTGTATTGGGTGAACATTAGTATATAAAAAATATCGTCAACAGTTGGGAAATTCCTAATGACAATTTGACACCGATAGCGACTGACATGTTTACATCCATAATGAAGCATTCAAAGTAGAAGTTGTAAGAATTGACGTAACTGAAGCGGTGAGCGCACCTAACATATCTTTTGGTTATCAGTCATGTGTGGAAATTGAAATTAAAATAAATTATATCTACAAGATTTTCCATATCACTGAAACAGAGGTTAAACAAATAAGTTATCACTTCTTTTTCTTTGTCTCTCTCTCTCTACTCTTTCTCTCCATAGGCATGTTTTGACTCTTTACCATCCCTCTGTCTTTACCGAAATTCATTAGATAGCTTATTCATTTTTCCTTCTACTCGCTTCCTTCAATTTGTCCTGTGTGTACTGAATTTTCCGAGTCTTCCTCCACTCCATAAGGTATACTGGCTTTGGTAGACTGGGTTTTAAATTAAACAGTTGGATAGTACTGAATTAAGACTCGTGGAGAAGGTAACGGAAAATCATTAATTGGAAAGCAAAGTTTATAAATATTAAAGTAGATAGAGGCTCTGAAATGCCATGATCGGTTATATTCTGAAAGAACATTTCTTGAAGACTACCATTTTTGCCCATAAAACCATGGAAATAGTAAAAAAAGAACCAAATTAATATAATCACGAAAGAAGAATGGAATAGCAGCAGAGAAACATTTTTTAATTATTTTTTTTAAGTTTTTAAAATAAAGATGATCCTTGCTTTTATTATTAAAAAATAAGTTGCATTTTAAAAATTACAATATTTTTTCCATCCGTAATAATATACCCATTTCTGTCAGAAACGCTTGTTTTGATTTTTGATAAATGAGAATCCGTTTTAGTTTTTTAATGCGTTTATAGCGTAAAGACTTTTCATATACTAAATCTTACCCAATAAAAGGCTTTGGAGCCACACAAGGTAGAGGGTTACTATCAAAATGAAAGATGAATGAGGTGTGCGATGTTAATGGAAGAGAGTGTGCTAAGAAGATTATAAGAATAAGGAGGAAAGATGAAGACTGATCATCGATTTCAAAATATCAAGATTAGAATGTTCAGAGAAGCACCATTGCTAGAAAAGCTGAGTGGAACTTTATTCTTAAAATAGAGACACGGTGGAAATCATAGCATGGAGTGTCTTAACAGGTGAAACTAGAGTTGCAGTGCTTTTCTTTAGCCAAACCATTTCACATTATATAATTTACTAGCAGTATAACCCATCTTTGACCGGGTCTTTCATTACTGGGAATTTTTGCCGTTCAATTGG